CATTATGTTGCAGCTATAGAACGAATTACTTTATCCTTGTGATTTTCGTTCTGGGTAAGTGAAAAGCTTGCATAAAAGTTCTTGCTTTTAGCTGTATTTGGGGAATTTGGGTTAAGATCTTGTGCAGTTTTGTTAATAGATGTTTTTGCTTAACTCAGGTATTGCGCTGATTACAAGACCATTGGCTATTGTTGGTGCTGCTCTTACAGCCTTAAGCATAGCTTTCCTTAACGACAGGTATGTATCTCTGCTCTGCAATGCGTTTGAGGCTTCATGGTAACGTGAAGTTGGTGTAGGTTGGCATGAATTTGGAAGAAATTAGGCTCCTTTGTTAAACCATGGTTGCTCTTGAACTGGACTTTCAGTTTTGGATTCGATAGGTTATATGATCTGTGGTTTTTGAAATCTGAGTGTTTCATGGTAGCTTGTTCCATTTGTAATCGCATGAACTGGAAGATATGAGGCTCCTTTTATCAATGGTTTCTCTTGAAAGGATTTCCAGTATTGCAGTGGATAGGCTATATATATTTGTTCCTGAAATCTATTTTTTTCAAGGTGGTTTGTTCCATTCCCACTGTGGTAGTTTGATGTTAATGTTAGAACCTGGCATCGATGTTAGTTTCTATTTGCTTAGTGTTGGTCCGCAAGTATTGTAGTATGTGGTGGTGTGTGTGTGTCCTCCCTAGCAGAGGCTATTGGGTGTACAAGCTTTTAAGGCCCGGGTTAACTGTTGTCATTTGCAGTTTTGCAGCTAGTTTTAATGAAAAGTTTATAAGGATTATTAGGCAATTCTCCCCACACTTGGCTGCAAAAATGAGGCCTCCCCACATGTGAGTTTCGTTTTAATTTATTTTCCATGGAAGCCATAAAGAAGGTCTTAGTTACATCTATATATTATGTGAGCACTTGCAGGCCTGTCATCCGTGCGAGATCAGCAAGAAGAAAGACAGTATATGTTTGTGGGAAACCACGATGGGTATTCGTGGTTATTTTCCTAACAGGTACTTGAAGACTCACTATCCCTCGATCCTCAGTTATGTAATTTATGCGACATTTGTGTCAAAACTGTTCAATGTATTGATTTGTTTATGTATACAGCCAGTCTTGTCATGTGGTTTTCTTCCTGCGGTTTGTTGTGGGTTCTCTATGCACTTCTCACTTCCCTCGTTGGTAAGTCATTTGCATTTAGTTGATTAAAGATGTCCTATGTTGGAGTTTTTGTTTTTGATACGAGGTTTTCTCTCCATAGTAATTGTTCTTCACGCAAGCGTGAGAACTCCAAACCTCAAGGCGCGCTTGAACACATTCCGTGAAGAATTCCGGGCTGTCTGGCGTAACTACAGTGAACTTTAAGTCACAGGTCGCTACATAATCTAGAAGCAAACCAAGCAGCCATCATGTCGTCAAGTAAGGACATGCTTTCACTAAACCATGATAGCAGTTTATTCTTATATTTTAGTTTAATCTGAAGTGAGCATCTCTTTGTTTTGTCAGATGATGGCAGATACGGCTCAAACGTCAAGGTTAAGATGGTTATTGGCTGTTCATTCGCAGACAGAATAGATTCGCTTGAAATGCTGGAGATACTTGACCAAGTTACTTCTAATTGGTGTAGTGATGCTCATACGTTTGACACTGTGTTAGTGATTTGACTTAACATGCTCTTTTTCATATATCAGTAGATCGAAACAAAACTCAATGGTATTTCAAGTACAAAACTTGGAAGCAGAGAGCATTTGAAAGTAAATTGTTTAATTTCTTCTCAAGACTTGACAAAGTTCTTGAGTGTTTTCAACCACAGTAAGTGCTCTTTACTATCTTTGTTGATCATATACTCGTGCAAGAAGTTGATCATGCTCGGCTTCATCCCTCTTATCTCGATGTACCTGTGAAATGCCTTCCTTAGCTTTTCATCCAAAACCCTGCAGAAAGAGACCATTCAAAGATCATGACTTTGAATCTTGTAAACATAAAAAAATTCAAAAGCTATTTCGGTTAGGATTACTGGAAGGAAGGTCCTTCATAAGCAAGCTCATCCTTGGAAGGATCATCAGGAAATGTAATCCACATGTCCTTGATTACAATCTTGTCTGGAAAAGCAGTACATCTGAATTCCAAACCTGGTCCTGTCTTCTTGGAAAGAGTTACTAAGAGAGGCACATTCGATTG